CACCCGCCACGTGATCCCTGCTCTTAGGTGCTGGGCAGAGGGGAAGGGTGGTCGGGGAAGGATGGAGAGGGGGGACTGGTGAGGGGCTCGAGGATTTGGAAGAGCAGCAGTGTTCTCGTAGGGAGGCAGCTTCTTTTACACACAGGTGGGCGTTTTAAAGGGGGAAGATTAATTAAAAAACACTGTGATCAGAGAGAGGGATTGGGTACAAATAGGGAGGCAGTCGTATTTTAAAGGAATCGAGTTTTCATTTACTTGAACTGGTGGTGATATTTTTTAAAGCCCATGCCCTGAGACCTCAGCTTTTATCTCAGAACCTCATGCGTTGCCAGGCCACGAATACAGGAAATTGAACTGAGATCTGTGTGTCCTGTAGCGTGGGACAGGAAGCATTTTGGGTACTGACCTTGGTTCCCCACACCATCAGATCAGAAAGTCATCTCCATGTCTGAGAGACCTGGGAGGTCGTGCACACAGGTGGTAGCTCAGCAAATCAAGTTTACTGGAGTCACAGGGAGGCTGGACTCGGTCCCTCCCTCTGACCTCCCGCTGATCTTGCCAGTCCACCTGCCCTCCTGGCTAAGTTCTCAGCAGCCACCCGACACACGTCTCAATGCTACACTCTTGCCTTATTCATCCGTGGTGTGTGAAGGGTCCTTGAATCAACGAGCAAGTGTCCTACGCTGTATCATCCAAAGACTGTCCTTTCCACCCTCAAATCCTGTGAATGGGATCCTCAACAGCACTATGATGAATTGTCTTCAATGAGGTGCCTTTCTTAATTGACCAAATGCTGCCTTGTTTGACCCTTAAGTCAATAAAGTATATGAAAAATTTGTATCCCCTGTTGTGGCATTTGTTAAGGAAATCTGGGCTAGAAAAATTATGTTGACATCTGGACCTGGCCTGGAAGCCCTTTCTTGTGGTCCCTGACAGCCGTGTGATCAGAAGGTCCAAGTGTGTGCTCCTAGAGGGGGCCTCCACCCTCTTGACCTTCACTTCTTAGGCAGGCTTTTCTTGAGCCCAGAGACAAGGCAGCTTGGTCTAGTATAGACAGCGCTGTGCTTGGGGTTCAAGGGACCTACAACAAATGCCAGGCAGTCATTCACTCTCCTGTTTCCTCTGAAAAAGGGGCTGGGAATGCCACCTTCACAGGCTGTGTCTGGCACACAGTGAACACTGGATAAATATTAGCTGGATCCACACATACACAGAGAAATACCCACTTCCTGTCCGGCTGTGTGATTGTTGAATAGTCAGTTGTCCACGACCTGCAAAGCCAGCACTTCTGATCCCTAAGCCAGATCTTTGGCTGCCCTTTCAGCTGCTTCTGTAACACCCTGAGGAAATCACGGCCGAGAGAAGCTGCTCTGTGTGTCCTAGTTTAAATCCATTTTCTCCCCAGCGAAGGTGAGCTTCAATCATTTGTCCAGACTGAAACTCTCATGCTCTTGGAAGGACTGCCTTTGCCAGGGAGGCTTCTGAGAAGTGACTGCTGTTCCCAGAAGCAGAGGGAGCTGGGCCGGAAGCGCTGTTTTGTTCGGGCCTCTTACTGCTGGGAGAGAAGCAGAGTGCTGTCCCCTGAGCCAGCTCCTCTCCCGCCCGTGGTGCACTTCACCTCTGCAGAGGCATGCTCTGGTGTCCAGGGGACTCATGTGCTCTGGTCTTTTCTTGCCCTGAGCTAAAGGCCCCATGAAAATTATCTCCCCTTCCTTGATCATCGTACATCCAACCGGGAGTTTAGTCCGACCAGCCTGGGAAGCGGCGTGGGATAGTTGACTACACCAGAAGACTTGGTGAGCTGTTACCCATCTGCTTCACTGGGCCTTGAGTTTTCTCATCTGCAAATCAAGACCGGCTGGGGTAAGACTTCGCCGCCACTCCGGGGAGACTGACGCCAGATTCTGCTCAAAGGCTTCACACCCTCGGCCCCACGGAACCTCACGGAGCGCCGTGCACTTGTAGCCGCCTCCTGTTTTACGGGAGAGGTGAAGGAAGATTCCTGCGGCAGGGCAGGGACTCGGGTTCAGTCCCTGGTACCGTCTGTCCCCTTGACCTTGCTGCTGAAGTGGTCTAGTGATGGGCAAATCTGCAGGCAGGAGGCGCCTCTGAGTAGGAGCCCTTCCCGGAAACACTCGCTCTGCCAGCCTGGAGCTCCCAGCTCTGTGTCTCCGGACCTGGTGTGTGCAGAGTGACTGGTAGGAGGAGCAGCCTCCACGGGTGCTGCAGAAGAGAGGCGTCAGCAGCCGCTGCTCCGCGTGTCCGGAGAATGGGCACAATCCCTGCCTCAGGTGTGCTGGCGGCCGGGCGCTCCTGTGCTCAGACGAGGCCCTCGGCAAACGCTGGCCGAGAGAAGCTCGGCGTTGGTGAGAGCTGTTGTCCTCCTGTCAGGAACCAACCTAAGGATTCTTTTATTTTTTTTTTTAAGATTTATTTATTTATTTATTTGAAAGGGAGAGAGGTAGAGACAGAGAGAGGTCTTCCATCCACTGGTTCACTCCCCAAATGGCCAGAATAGCCAGAGCCAAGCCAGTCCAAAGCCAGGAGCTTCTTCCAGGCCTCCCACATGGGTGCAGGGGCCCAAGGATTTGGGCCATCTTCTACTGCTTTCCCAGGCTCATCAGCAGGGAGCTAGATTGGAAGTAGAGCAGCCAGGACTCGAACCAGCACCCATATGGGATGCCAGGGCTTGAACCCACTGCGCCGCGTGCTGGCCTCCAACCTAAGGATCCTTAACCCTCGGCTTCTCTCTGCACGGAGAGTTGTGTTGCTGCATTGTCATGGTAACAGTTTGGCTCTGCATAGGCTGTGTCACTCTTAGAACCCTGTGGAGGGGAGTACTGTCTCCTTGCTTTATCTCTGGACTTCGAGGTTCATACACCTGGCAAGGGCAGAACCAGAGTGGGAGCCCGGGTCTGCGGCTCTGCACCCCAGCCTGTGACCTCTGGGCCAGTTGCTGGGGGAGGGGAAAGGTTCTCGTGATACAGAAAAGGCTACAAGCCGTGCGTCTAAAGAAAGGAGGAATTCAAGCAGGTTTGCTGTGTCTCGGTGAAGGACCCGGGGGGAGCGCAGCCCTGGGTGAAAGTTTGTTCTGTTCTGTCCTCTGCTGCTTCCTTACTGGTGGAGCCAAGGCTCTGATGAGCTGGGTTTGGAAAGCTTGTGACACCACCCTCACTGCAGAAGGGCTGGGGGACGAGCTCCTCCCGCTCCGCCCCGCCTGGTTCTGGGAAGGGTGGCAGCAAGGTGGGTGTGTACACTGGCTCCACAGTCCTCTCAGGCCGCGGCTCCGTGTGGCGGATGGCGTTGCATTATTCATAACTCCAGAGGGAGCGCCGGCTTCCTGATCCCTGGGGAGTGCGGCAGCTCAGCGCTCCCAGTCTCCGGCAGGGTGACGAGGCGATGCGATGCTCTGTTCCCGCAGGGCCCTTCCCCAGGCTGGTCCCCAGTGAGATGTCTCCAGCAGAGAGCAGACAGGGAAAAGACAAGGCATCTGTGATCCTGGCAGATAACCCAAACAGATCTGCACATTTAGGGTAGAGTTGCTATGGGGAGAATTACTGTATGCTGTCCCTTAGATCCAGACTTTTAGGACAAATTCCTCCGAGCTTAGAGCTAGGAGATGGGTTTCCTGTTTAGCTGATCTGCTTTCTCCTGATGGGTAAGAACACTTGATTTTCTCCTGTGCTGTCCTTTTTGCCCTGGCGAACGAAGGAAACAAAGCCTTGGGTTCAGTGGCCACCTCTGCCAGGGTTTCTTAATAAAATTCTTAGCCCATCC